ATCATCTTTTCAAAGAAGGCATGGAATTGTTATTATTTAGAATACCAGCTGAATTCTAACTCTATCCTGTATTTTGATTTATTTCTTGTGGGATGCTCCTAACCTGTCACTTTGCTATTGTGTTAAATGAGAATAATTTCATAACACTTGTTGGAAAGTAGGATTCTTGTGCATTTTCACTAGTAATACAGTTATACTTTATTGAATATTACAGGGCACACACTTTGATAGAAGTTCATCATACTTTGAATTTGTTCCTTTTACAATGTGAAAGGTGTCCCCATTTGATAGGTGAGAAATCTGAAAGGTTACACAGGTTTGAAAACTTGCTCAGTAAAGATAGCACAGCTGGAGGTGATGGAGCTTGGAATCTGTCCCAAGATTGCCTGATCCCAGATGAAAGCACAAACACCAGCTCATGACAGAAAAGTTGCACAGGGTTGGAAATGACTATAGCAAGGCATCAATCTTTAGAATAGTTCTCTGATCCCTGGAGTTCTCATATTTCTTCATAGAATAGGGTCAAAATATTCTGTTGTTCAATAGTATCCTCAATCTCCCCAGCCACACCCAGTGTCTCCCCAAGATACATACTTGTGGTATGGTTGAAAGTTCATTTCATTGTTTCAAAGTCTTTTTCTGTCTGATATTCAATTTTAATTCCTTTCCCTTTTTGACTTCTCCATAAAATTCTGGCAGTCTCTGAAGCTCCGTTCTCTCCTGATGGTGATGACATTCCAACTCTATTACTCTTTACCCCCTTGGTTCCATGGGGGACTTTTCTAAGGATTGTTTGTTTTGCTGGAGGACTGGTAAATGATGTGTTTCAGAAGTGACATTTTGACTTGTAGAGGCCAGGCAATCTGGACATGGAGAGAATTTCTATAAATCCCACATGTTTTTCTGGATTTCAATGCTGTCATCTTAAATGCAGCATCTGTAGCATAAAACTGCCAAAGAGGGTCATATTTTTATTTTTACCAATAATTCTAGGAGACCGGCTATTGCCCAGATCCAACAACTTAAATTATTTACTGACTTTCTATTAAATTGGGCCATTATTTGTGAACACGAAAGATTTGGTGTAGTATAAAATATCTCTTTGGCACTGCCACATAAAAATGTATATACATGCTACGTCCAAAAACAGTCTCCTTGAAGAACAAGATGAAAATATAATGGCAGCTTTAATTTTAACTGAAGACACTTACAATATTACACTAGCAAAAAAGAATTCACCACCAGCTGCACGTCGGAGAGACCAAGGGACTGATCAAATCTATCACATGGACAACATTTAAGTCTTTGAGTGGTAGGTGTGCACTACAGCTTTCAGTAAGTCTGTTACCAGATGAGCCAACTTCAAAGATGTGGTGGGCGGCCCAGAGGATAGTGGGAGGCGGTGAAGCATCAAAAGCTTCAAACAAAATTGAGGTTAGTTTTTTTTTTTTTTTTAAATCTCAAATTCACTGAGCACAAAGATATTTTGAGATATGTTGACAATGACCTAATATTTATTTTCAGTTTTTGTGACGTTAGTATGCAAAGACAGATTAAATAAATAATGCAAATTAATTGCATTTATATTTTAAACAGAAGAGTACTTCAAATGCAAATAGGAGACATCCTGTCTACAAGGATTTTTAGCCAATTGCTTGATACATGTGGCTGTGTAGAGGATTGAGTATTATCCAAGAGACACAGATGGGATGATTTAGGCACAAACAACTTTTATTTTGTTACTTCTGTGCAAACTCTCGACATACCTGACTCTACAAAAATTATAGTTTTGATGTACATATGAAAGCCTTCAATATATATCCAGAAACTATATATAAAACACTTTCTTGGCTAATATCTAAAGTCATTAAACTTTAATATATTACAGATTTATATTGTTTACAGATTTGTTGCGACTTAGAGTGAAATGTTGACAGTTTGAAGTTATGAACCTTTTATTTAAGATTTCGGTTAAAATAACATTTCCCACCTGATTTGAAGCAGCAGTTTCTAGGATTGTTTCTGTTCTTTTTAAAAAATGTCCTGCATATATACTGTGGATGTCTGAGAGAATAAGCTTAACAATCTTTAAATACCAAGAAACACATATGTTCGAGATGTTTGTAAAACTTTTTCCTGAGCCCACCAAGTACCCACTCAAGTATTTGCCTCTTCCAAGTGGGCCACTAGGAGCTTAGAGCCAAGTTTGTGGCCCACCTCCAGGAAGGTATAGAATTTCATGACGTACATGTTTGTACACTAGCCTCAATCCTGGCTTGAATTTATTTTCCTACCCCTTTTTCTAAACTTTCTTTAAAATTAACTTTTAAAATCTTAAAATCTTTATGATCTTAAAATTAAATAGTTTTAAACTTTAATCTTATCATACTACGTAAGCCACTTTTAAAATCTTTCTCAAACCAAGTAGGGAAAAATAAATAAATGAAATAAAAAAATATGGGATGTTTCGACACCTATAGCTAATTCATGATGTAAATACCAAAACTTCAACTCTGCCTTTTTTGCATGGGTGATGTAGAGTTGTCTGGATTTTTAAGGGTAAAGTGGAATTAGAAATATTATTCTCAATGATGAACTCATCCAGGTCATAATGAGGATAATTATTTTTGTGTATCTTTATCCCTCTGGGATATGCAATAATTGCCTCTGTGCTTTGCCAAGTAACATTTAAATATTGTTATTGGTTGAAACAAAATGCAAACCTTTGTCTGGTCTCATTTGATGTATCCCAAAGCAAAGAAAGATACAGAGAAGGTAACACCCGGATTCGCATTTACTAAGGGATTCCAAATAATGCCCTAAATGACTATTTTGGAGCTCAGTTACATGCAGGTGGTAGAGGATTTATGCTGTGAATGCCTAAAATACTTTCTCCACCGAGAGGAGATTATTAAGTCCTAGCGAGCCTGAGTGTTCAGTGCCAATACTAACCATTAGCTTTTGGCTCTGAGCCATGACTGTCTACTCTGCAGTGGATTCTGCCACCAAGGGGAAGGTCATTAAGGGCTGTTCTTTATTCTCGTTAGTATGTTCCAACATAATTAACAGAAGTTGTTCACCAGATGGCTTCCTTCCTGTCAGCAAGAACCTCCAGCTTAATGGGCTATGCAGGATTCTTTACTTTAAGTGGGTGAGGCGGGAAGCAAATTCAAAATATATCATCTTTGATCCTCCCACTTCTAATTAGTTCTAAAGGTTTTAGATAATAATGTAAAGGAGGCAGGGAAATGAAATCATTCTAAAAATCAAAGCCTCACAGAAACCCAATAGGAGTTTTACACATACCTGGGGGTGTTTCTTCCCTCCCCCCCCCCTGCTTGGTCTCCACCCATCACAGAGAGAAGTGCAGAAACGGTTGTCAGTCTGCCACCAAAAGATATTTCTAGAGCCTTAGAGCTGAAATGGATTAAAAAATCTGATAATATAATTCAATAAGTGCTTACTCAGTTCCCACTGGCTTCAGAAATGGTACTGAGTGCTGGTGATAAGATATTGCCCCTCTTGTCCTGCAAGTTAGAGAGTCTTGAGAGATTCTGAGACATAATAGGCACTGGGCAGTGGAGTTTGGTAAATGCTGTGCCAGACACCACCCTTAGAGCTTTTCCTCTTTATTGAGAAATAAGCCGAGGTCTTCCTTGGGTATGCTGGCTCTTGCACATGGTGTTGGGCACAAGGCAGGTCTGCTCTGAGCTAATCTTAACTGTTCTCTTGCCAGTGTTTGGCTTAACAACTGGACAGATGAGCCATGCTGGCCAATAAATCAGGAGGGACAGTTTACTATAAAGCATTACAAAAAACATCCAAGGGCTCAAATCAAGTGGCTTCTCTATAAGCTTGTTACATTTAGGAAATAATTTTAATATAGCAAAATAATAAAAAGATTTTATTCATGCTCATTATCTCAGTTATTATAAAAACCTTGTAAATCATAGGAGATAAAAACTATTCCCTTTCTACAGAAGGGGAAACTGAGACTTAGAGAGATTAATGTGTTAGGTCTGGATAAAGCTACCGAGCTCTGAAATCAAGTGCTGTTTTGACCACATCTTCTTGTTTCTTACTTAAATAGTCAAGGCAAAACCTTAGTTGCACAGCCAAGAATGCAACATGATCATAAAACCTTTTTTTTTAATGCTTGAAAAATACTAACTGCTTCTTTTGAGCTTGTATCCTGAGGATTTTAAGTTCAGTTGCTTTTTCTTCATGCGTAAAGAAATATTTGGAGTCAAGTAAGGTGAAAAGGCTTTCTGATGTAATAATTATCATTGAAAATCAACATAGGCTACTCATGATTGGTGATTATTTTAAAAGGTGTTTGAGGAACAAGATGAAATGGTCTAGTGTTGAGTGTTGCACACCTGCATTCCACCTAGAAAGGGCTTCAACAGGGATAAAGAGGCTAGTAGTATGCTCCATATAAACACTGGCCAGAGTAGCTATAGGCTTAATCATCATTTGCTATAGCTCAGTTTTGAAGACAAATTGTCTTCATTCATTTACTATCAGTGTTAAGACTCTTTTGTTGTTAAGTGACAGAAAGCCCAACTCCATCAGTTTAAGTGGTTTCTCTATAAGCTTGTTACATTTAGGGAATAGGAGATGTATTGGCTTACAAAATTGAACAATATTCAGCAGGCAGCTCTGTCTTCAGGAAAAACTTGAATTGGGATGTCCAGTCCTTGACACCAGATTCCATGTATAGGCTTTCCTTTCTCTGGAGTGACTCGATTATGACTCTAAATGGTGGTCCCAAATGTTAGACTTACTTCATCATAGCATGCTATTCATTGGAAATAGTGTTTGTTTCTTGGAGAACTCAAATGAAGTCTATAATTGAATCCCACTGCCTAAATTGTATCATTGTGGTAGATTGAGTTATTTATTGGTCTTTGTTATGGCTTCATGGTTGGCAGTGTTCCCTTATCTCCTTGGCCATGACTTGACCATGTGACTTTCTTGGTGAAGGGGATATCAGCAAAAACAATACAAAAAAGGAGCTGGACAGACACAGTTGAGTTTGCCCTCTTGCTGCACCCCTGCCTTTTACTATAAGAACAACATGCCTTGTATAAAAGACAAATTGTGCGAGGCAGATGAAAGACACATGGAGCAGCCCTAGACATTATCATTGGCTTGGAGTTGATACCACGCAAGCCAACTTAATTAGTCAAACCTCAATCATCCGCAGAAAGGTGAGCAAGAAATAAATGCCTTTTGTTCATAAGCCACTGAGTTTTGGAATAATTTGCATGGTATGATTATAACAACAGCCAAATGATATAGTCACTAGCTCACTCTACTCATTCCTATACCAACCACCGAGGCAGGAGGTTGGAATAAATTGGGTAAATCCAGACTATGGAGTCTGCTACTGGAACCCAGTGCTGGATCTGGCTGGCCTTTGGAATAAAGGGTAAAAGTGTAAAGAAATAACACTGCCACTGAGAGGAGATTGTGATGAGCAGAAATGACGGCTGTCTCCTGCATCCACCATCACTAAAACTTACTTTTAAGTGATGGATCATATCAAGGTGCCACACCTTCCATTCTGAGCCATTAGAGTAACTGACAACCTGACAGTATGTGGCAAACTGATCAATGAAAGGGAATTGAAAGGGGAGAAAAACAACCCTCCGAGACTATGTCTTATCTTGCATCCTAGTGCCCAGAACAGAGCAAGTTGGGGGACTTGTTACCATTGTGCTCTTTGGGAAAACCCTCAAATGTTGGGTTTGGTTGTGAGCATCATATTTCAAGAGGCACATTGCTAAATCAAAACTTGTCAAGAGCAATGCAGACATGCTAAAAAGAAAAAGTGGTTGTCTTATTGGCAAGGCAGATGTTGAAGTGAGAATCAGGGTCAGCAAAAGCACAGATGACAATTATTTCTAATATCATAAAGACTGGTGTATGGAAGAGAGATTTTTCTTAGTCTGCATTCCTCCAGAGGCAAACTCTTCTGACATGCAGAAATGTGTTATTTCTGAAAGCATATGGGCTTTGGGACTGCAAAGATAAAATCTAATTCCAATTCTGTTCTTCTACTTTTTAGTGGTATGTGCTTACTAAAAAATTCCCTGTCAATGTCTGCGGCTGCCTCATCTGCAAAAGCAATGTAAGTAGACTTGTAATGTAAATAACAATGTAAATAGATTTCAAAAGTTATTCATGTAAAGCTTGGCCCTTTGTAGAGGCTCAATAAATGTTAGTTATTTTAACATTGATGATACCATTATTATTAGAACTATGATTAGTGCCAATATGCGGAGTTTACAGGGAAACCAATTTTGGTAATATATAAGGTAGTAAGAACACAATGTCCAAAAATAGAATAAATGTCAGAGTGAGTCCCCTGTTCTAGAGACTGTTTCAGCAGAGGCAGGACATCAGGAATGAAGTAGAGAGAACTTTCTGAGAAACTATACTGTATAAATTTCTGGGGTGCCGTATAACTTCAGGATACCAACATTAATTGAACTGGGAGGCAGTTTCATTAACACTAGCCCCCAAATGAGTGAGACTGAACAGTATTATAAAGAGGCTACACATCTGGACCCACTGGGGACAATCTTGGTTTAGACCTATTTGTCCTGGGTGACCCAGTTTGAATGATACCATTATAGGGTCATCCTAATTATAACTAATCCAGCAAGTAGAAGTCAAGAATATTGTTATTTTTTAAAATAAGCTATCCCCTCCCAGAATTTCTACTTGTCCTGAGTTTGTCTTCCCAGGGAAGTGGTATTATCATCTTCAGTAACTCGGCCACACACCTTTAGGAAGCTACTTCAGCATTCTGCCCTCCTCTCTCTCACCTTCAATCAGTTGCTAAACCCTTTTGATCCTGTCTCCTAAACGCCTCCCCTATCTTCCCCTTCTTTCAAGTCTTCCTGCTTTAATTCAGGCTCTTGTTACCTCTTGCCTGGAGCCTTGAAAAATCCTCCTAACAGCTGTGGACCCATCCTATTATCCATAAACCCCACTGCCTCTGGCGTGCACCTTTTAGAGTGTGCCACTGGTCTTGCAGGTTCTTTTCACTCACCTAGAGAAATAGAATCAAGTTTTTGTTGTTTGAGTCTTCCTGCGTTGTGTAAAAATAGATGGGAATATTTTCATCAAACATAAAGGATATGTTTGGGATGGTAGGATTTAAAATGTAGCATTATGGGGACTATGAAATCCCCAGAAGGATCTCAGGAAGGCATCTCAATGGTGTAGGTTGTTAACCTTCTGAGTAGCTGGAAAGAAAGCGCAGGATCCTGCATGAGTCCTCCTGGAAGAGATATAGCTAATAAGGTCAACCATGGACAAAGAAAAACGAATGGCTTCCAATCAGATCCTAAGTTGAATGTTTAAGGGCAGGTTCTCTAAAGGGCTGATTCTGATTTCATTGGGTATTGATTTTCTTTTTTTTCTTTTTCTTTTTCTTTTTTTTATTGGTTGTTCAAAACATTACAAAGCTCATGACATATCATATTTCATACATTAGATTCAAGTGGGTTATGAACTCCCATTTTTTTCTATGGAGTGCTTTTCTCTTCTATTTTTTGGAGGCGGGTGTAACAGGGATTGAACTCAGGAGCACTCAACCACTGAGCCACACCCCCAGTCCTATTTTGTATTTTATTTAGAGACAGGGTCTCACTGAGTTCCTTAGCACCTTGCTTTTGCTGAGGCTGGCATTGAACTTGTGATCCTCCTGCCTCATTCAGCCTCCCAAGTCTCTGGGATTATAGGAGTAGGCCACTGCACCTGGCTTCCATGGAATTGCTTTTATTGTGTGCAACCTAAGACTGTGTTTGCTGGGGTTACTTACACAAACTTGGTGGATGATTCCCTTGCACAGTACTGAGTGACCAGCTGGGATGGAAAAATTGCCAGATGGGCATTCACTGTCTTCTAACCCGGCCGTTAAGTCTACGACGAAAGCCTATTCTCCAGATACAATGTACAGACCATGTTTTGTCTTTTACATGTGTCTACATTTCCCTTTTTTGACCAGGGTTCAGTTGCCCTCCCCATGTGACGATTCTCCTATCACCTCTAAATGCGGGAATGTTCCTCATGAATCAGGGCTCAGCAGATGGCTCTCCCGTCATAAGATTCTGCCAGATGATGGGGGGGGGGCATTCAAAATACCCTCCTACATTACTCTATACTGTTTGTTATCTATGTTTTAAGGTAGCCACTTGCCTAGATATGTGTCTTTTAACGCTTTAGGCCTGCGAGGAGAAATACTGTCTTACTCATCTTGGTATGCTCTGTAGGGATTTTCAGTAAATATGTGTTGAATTAAATAATATTTTCAGAGAGGCTCTAACCATGTTTTAGCCACCTTCTCAGAATTTAGAATTGAAATATATCCTAAAAAGAAGATTGTGAATGCCTCACTGTGTCACAGTGAAGATCAGACAGTGGGAAATGTCACAGGGGCAGAAATCGATTTTTTTCCTTTGCAGTTAACAAAGAATAAGAGGATCATATCCACCTTTTTAATTTGAGGATTTAAAATTTTTTGAAAAGTAAATAATACGAGGAAATGTTGCATATAATAGAATAATCCTATTTAAACATTTTTTTTTTTGTACAGGAGAATTGAATCCAGAGGTGCTTTGCCACTGAGCTACATCCCCAGCCCTTTCTGTTTTTCATTGTGAGACAGTCTAAATTAACCAGGCTGACCTTAAACTTGCAATCCTCCTGCCTTAGCCTCCCGAGTTGCTGGGGCTATAGGTGTAGCACCACGCCCAGCCCTGGTTTTTGACTTTTGGTTATGTTAATATTTAATTCTTTGCTTATTCTAATACTGAAGTTCTTAGATTTGCCTTTCATATGTGTACTATACTGAATGTAGGACTGGGGGAGTGACTCCTTACACTGCTCACCTATTTTGAGCAATAATCTCTAGAGAGCATGAAATCTTCAGCGTAATTGTTGGCCTCAATCGGAGTGATTTTTGAATTACCTTATGGGTTGCAGTCCGTGGGCTATCAGATTGCTTCCTGTGTCCTATGAAGGTTTAAACCAACAACCACAAGGGCCTATCTTTCAAGCATAAAACATTTGGACATTAAAACTTCTTTCTGGCATCATGCCTGAGGTCAGAAATCTGCACTTTCAGCACATTTCACCTGGGATTTCTCAACACACATGGCCTGTGCTCCTTATGCTTACTCCACTTCCAAGCTTGCAGTTGTGATGGAAAGAGCCCAGCTTTGGAGTCAATTGGAAAAGAAGTAGAAAAACAGGACATCACCCTGGGCAGCCAGTGAGAAAGACACCTTTCTGTGAAGAGACAGCCCATGACACCATGTTATCTGGAAATCATTTGAATGGCTCAAGGTGAAACTGAGAAGGGCATTTGCATCTAGGTGGACACAGACACAGAGGGACCATTTCCATAAAGACAGTGAAGGTCGGGCAAGAGGAGACTGTCACAGGACATATTCAGAAGGGCTGTTACTGGATTGGTTAAATTCTGCTGTAGCAGAAATACTAATGAGATCCTCTAATTGGAACTGACAGAATGAAAGAGAAGAAATAATTAGGTGAGTACTCCGTCCTTAGAGAACTGTGGAAGTACATAGTTAAAAACAACATTTGGTCCATTTTAAAGGGGGTGACCAAGGCACCTTCCTCTTGAGGAAGGGGAGAGAGAAGGGTTTGATGAAAGTGCCAAGCTCTGTTGGACCAGTAACCAAGGATGGAGAAGCCCCAGGGAGTGCTCAGAGGGGCCAGGAAAGTTGCTCTGTGCAGATGAAATCACATCCAGCTGTGGCTCTTGCCAGGCATGCCCAGAGTTGTCCCCTTCTTTTCTGAAACCTTTAGAGTCTCCTTAGAAGTGAATCCCAGAGGGGACTTAGAGATGATTTGATTGGACACTGTCCTTCACAGTGGAGATGAGCACAGAGAAGGTGAGGAGCCCAGCAACACAGTTCACAGAGCTGAGTCTTGAATCTGATTACCAGATTTCTCACTGGTGCTTTTTCCTTTGGAGAACGTGCCTTCAAATCGTGTAGTATCCCCACCCCAAGGCTGACTCTCCCCTGAGTGGTCATCAATTTCACATCAAAGAAAAGAAGGCACAGGATCCTAAAGAGGGCCTCCAACGAAGAAAGTGTAACTTTGGTGTTTCGTCTTCTTTCCCTTCAGAACAGCATATATATTTATTTCCAAATTGATGCAAGAGTCGACTTGAAGCACCTTCACAACAACAAAATAAGTAGGTGAGGCTGTCGATGTTAATTAGCATGACTTAATCACTTTGCTCCATGAATACATATAATTATTATTTATAATTTTTTTTAAAAAAAAATTTAAAATAATCCCAAGAGGTAGTGATCATTGGCCCATTACTACAGGAGAAAGAAGGTAAGAATTTTGCCAAAGGTAGCAAAGCTAGTCAATTCCAGTCTGCCTACCTTCAAAGCCATTGTTCCCGTTTCTTCACTCCCGTGATGAAACCATCTAGCTTCCTCCCTCAACTCAGCTCCTGAATGGGTTCTGTGACATTACCAAAAGTTTACACTCTTCCCTGCCCTTCTGCTCTGGTCCTCACTTCCCTGACCTGGGTTCCTGTGGAGCTCTGTGACACACGGGCACCCCAGACTCAGCAGGCAGGTTTTGTCACTTGGATCTCTTGTTCCCAGTTGAGAAGCTGCCTTTGCAAGCTCAGCTCCAGACACGTAGAGTCCTTTCAGGTTGGGTTTGGAGAGGCCATCCAGTCTGGAGCACCTGGACCCAGGGATGCCGAGGGAGGAGGTCTGTTTTCACAGGAAACTGGAAAGCTTAGAGAATGAAAATCACTGCAGGGCTGGGAGGTGACAATGGAGTGGATAGTGCGATCTTCTCTTTCTTTCTCCTAAGAACAAGTATCAAGAGTAAGACTTGAGGTACAGCTAGCAGCTCATAGTCCGTGATAAAACAAAAACAAAAATAACACATTGGTCCTCTGTCCCCAGAGAGACCTTAAGCCAACCTCAACATAGAGGGTTTTCTAATGAGGGTGGGGATCATCACAAGCTGGGATACCTAGTGGCTAGGATCATGACTATGGAATGGTGTGGGCAAAAGAGGGCTATGGAGAGTCTCACGCTGGGAATGAAGCATCTGTACCCTGGGCTGTTGGAATTAGAAATACCAGGTCCCGGTTGGGTTGCATGGAGGCAGGAAGGAAAGATCTGGAACTGGAGAGATGGGCTCTTTTAGCATGTAAGCAAAGTTTTTTTTTTTTTTTTTTTTTGAGTGTTTCTACATCAGAATGGTTTCGGCTTTAAGCAATAGGAAAACCAACTCAAACTAGCTTATAAAATAAGGTTTCCCTTTAGTTTACATGTGAGAAAAAAATAAGAAGTAGGCTGGGCTTCAGCTTTACCAGATCCAGAAATTCAGCCATGTCATCAAGGACTTAGTGTCTTTTCATCTTCCACACTGCTGTCCACAGTGTCAGTTCAATCTTAAGGCAGGTCCTCCTGGGGCTGTGGGATGGCTGCCAGTAGCAATTCAGTGGGGGAGTGTTTGCTTTCCTATCGTTCTGTCTTAAAAGTCAGAAAGCACTTCCTCAGAAGCTTCCAGAAAATTCTCTCTTTGGTCATATGCCCATTCCAAAATCCAGTTACTGTCACCGGTGACAGGTTAACCCTTTAGATACATCGGATCTACTCCCTGAGTTTTGGATGAGTCTCCAAATGGCTTTGATTCCATCTCCTAGGATCTGTATCTTTTTTTCTTTTCCAACTTTATACATTGAAGCCTGATTCCCAAGGTGATGGTAGTAAGAGGTGAGAGCACTAAGAGATTATTAGAAGATGAGGGCAAAACCCTCATGGGTGGGATTATACCCTTGTGAAAGAGGCCCAAGGGAGCTGATTTGCCCTCTCCACCATGTAAGGACATAGCACAAAGGCACTGTCTATGAAGCAGAGGGAGACTCCCAGACACTGAATGTGTTAACCCCTTGATCTTGGACTTCCCATTCTCTAGATCTCTAAGAAATTGCTGTGGTGTATAAGCCACCCAGTATATGGTATTTTTGCTGTAGCAGCCCAAATAGACGAAAAGGACACCCAAAGGAGTCTGAAGATTAGGTTGTGAAATGAGTTTTCCTTGGATGGAAGTGGAGGGGAAGGGAGGGGCAGAGGATTAGCAATGATGGTACCATGTGATGGACATCATTATCCCAAGTACATGTATAAAGACATGAATTGGAGTGAACATACTTTATATATAGGGATATGAAAAATTGTGTTCTAGATGTGTAATAAGAATTATGATACATTCCACTGTCATATATTTAAAAAATAAAAGCAATTTAAAAAAACAAAACAAAACAAAACAAAAAGAAACCAAAACTAAGAAAAGTCTAGGTTGGCCACTGGAGGCACTGCCTTCTATTCCAATATTTCTGCCATTTCGTTTTTTCCAATCTTGAGTTTTCCATATGCCAAAAGTATTTATTTAATCCTCTCCTTCCCCATAGCTCCAAGGGGTTGTTTTAAGATTAAGATGTATGTAAAAACAATACTTCAGCTTCTTGGGAAGAAAGAAAATGTGCTATCTGTTGTTATTTCACAGTATTTGGTAACAAGATGGGGATTTTCCAAGTACATGGAAATCTTCTCTTGTTGAGATACAAATCTCCTGCTTATGACAGGTGACCAGAAGTACCGCTTTTTGAGCTCAGCCAAGAAAATAATGAAACTTTAGGCTGCTTGTGGGGAACCACCCATGTCTCTGAGTTGGTCATTGGCCATTGTTCTGAGGCTTGGACTTCCCTTTTGAGTTAGTGAGGGCTTGCTTCGAATCTCATTCGTTAGCTTCTCTGCTCTTGAGGGATTTGATCTTTTCGGAGCAGCAGTATCAGAAAACACAATACTTTTATTAAGTTCATCAAACAGCCGACTCTGTCCTGGGGGCCAGAATATGTCGGTCTGTTATCATGGCTGTGTTCCAGGACTCCTCATTGCAGCTGTTTCAAACACATTTTTGGGCTCATACTTATAGTATGATGCTAATCCTTTTGTTCACTCAATTATCTCTTGATGTGTAATCATGATCACTATCAAACCCCAACATGATCACTATCAAACCCTAACATAGGCTCAGATCCAGGAATAGCACTGAGCTATGCTTTGTTCAGAAGGAATTACTCAGACATGTTGCCTTGGGTGTGATCCTCAGTGACCTGAGGGAGCTCCCTCTGCGCTCCATTCTCTCATAACTGTGTATACCACCTGCAACTTTTATTTTAAAATACCCTTCATTACACCAATGATGACCATGTTAGCACAGGTCACTGTTTTGGACTTTTCACTTCCAGGTGCTCCAAAGAGTCCTTGGCAGAAGATGACCTATAAGCACTCTGGATGCTTCACAGAATTGGAAGAACCTAAGCTCAACAGTAAGAAGTCCAATGTTTGGGGAGAATTGACTTTTGTTTTAAGGTACCAAGGATTAAATTCAGGGACATTCAACCGCTGAGACACATCTGCAGCCCTATTTTGTATTTTATTTAGAGACAGGGTCTCACTGAGTTGCTTAGCGCCTTGGTTTTGCTGAGGCTGGCTTTATCTTGAGATCCTCCTGTTTCAGCCTCCTGAGCCACTGGGATTATAGGCATGCTCCACCATGCCCAAGGAGAATCAACTTCTTACTTTCCTGTCCTTTGCCATGATTCCTCAGCTACTGTGTTCAGCACCAAGTCTAAATTTATTTCCAGATCATTTTATTTTCTTCTGCTGTTATGCCATGATTCTCTGTATATATTCTGTAATCTGTAAATCACCAGGTTATCCACAACCAATTGATTCTGTGTAAAATAAGATGGAGAAAAGAGACAACAAGAAAAATTATTTTTAGAATAGAACAAGGAAAATGTATCAAGAAAAAAAATAAAAATAGAAAACAGGTAGCTATTGTAGTCTTCATATCTGCAGCTGGTTGCATAGTTGTAGTTAGGTTTATGATTTCCTTAATTCACTACTCTCACTCTATGTTCTTTTTGCTTTGACAGTTTTATAAAATCAGAGAACTGACTCACACCTCAATACTTACAAGTCCTGAGACCTTGATGGTCTTTCTTATTTAGAGACGTTGTAATCATCCATTAATCTTTCTAACCTTTGGAGGCCGATGTTATTTCTTCCCTGAATGTTAGAATTCACTAGGGATGACATCTGGGCCTGTAATTTTCTGTCAGAAAAAAATGTTTAACTTATAGATTCTATTTCTTCAATTCATACAGAACTATTCATACTTTAAAAATTACGTTTGAGTTTATTTTGGTAATTTTTTTCTAAAAGCTATGTTTGTTCAGAATTTTCCAACCGATTGTCATATAATTGTTTGTAACATAATATTGTCTGTTTAATGTTTGTAGTATCTGTTGAATGAGCCAATATGAGGACTGCAAACTTTGTTTGGTTGTCATGATCCCTTGACAAGTTTGGGTATGCTATACTTTCATGATCATTTCATCCAAAATATTTTCTCATTTCTACTAAAAATCCTTCACTTAAAGATGATTTTTAAAGAGATTGTTTATTCAATTTCCAAACACTTGTTACTGATTTATAAATTAAATTCCAGTTTTTCTATTGTTACTGATTTATTACCTAATTCCAATATAATTAAATAATATATTCTGTTGATTTAAATCTTTAAAAATATGTTCAGGTTTATCTTATGGTCCAGAGTGGTCAGTTTTGTTAATGGTCTGTGTGGTGACGATTAGGAAAAGAAGGTGTTGGAGTTACTGAAAAGAGACACTCCAGAGAAAGGAGGACAGCCACCCTTACATCTGGGGAAGAAATCCCTCAGACCCTTGGAGCACAGGAGATGAACAAATGCTAATGAACTCTATCTGGAAGAATTACTCCAGGAATCTTCCTTACAAAATGCCCCAATTTAGCTCTCCAAATCTGTATAAGTACCTTAAACTTAATTGACTCCTGGGTCTTCCTTCTTCATAAGATGGCTCAGACCATTATCTGATCACCAATTCCCTTAACCTTACTGAAAATACTATTAGAAATGCGAGGAGACAGCCAAGCTCCTGCATTTCCCACACAAAGCTACTATTGACATATCTGGAGACCTTCCTCACCACCATTCAAATAGCCATTAGTCCTGGGGTGATGAATGAAGGCTGCCTTGCTGCTGATGGGAAGGAATACACAGGACAGGTTGGACTTGACTTCTCTTAGACAGTCCCTCCAAAATACAGAACTGAGCTCAATTATGAGAGCTAAAGTTCCAGCCAACTTGGAAATCATATGGGAGGCAATCAACCTGAACCCTACATTGATCCAGGTCCCACAAAGCTAAAGTTCCCCCAAACTGTAGGCGATTTTAGACATTTATATAGGCCTACAGATACATTATATGTCCCTGGCACTGTGCTTCTTGTTTAGAAGTTAGGTAATATTTATTTTGCCTTCTTCCCACAAACACCATGAATTGCATATGTCTTAGGGGTAATTTAAAAGACTTTCAAATATTTAAGGAAACCTGTCAGTAGATCATGCAGCCCTTATATAACTGGAAATATCTCTGCTAAATGAGGCTATCCTTAGTTAATTGGGGCGCTTCATAAGGAGATAATTGAATCAATATTCATACTTTGTGAGCAGTTACCCATATAGTAGGAATCATTTAACTGTAAGAGGTAATACAAAAATTTGTCCTTGAATTTATCTGAAACCGTCAATGACAGAAGTTGTAGAAGACTGTAGCAGGTATTTAGGGAAGCCTGGACTCATAGGCCAGAGTTGTTATGGATTATAGAATCACCCTAATTTTTTGTTTGTGTTCAATACAAAGTTTGCAATTGGTAATGTATCCACTATTATAAAGTATACACAGTATTATAAACTCTACAGTGGTAAACAATAATGCCCTAGCCCTTTATATTCACTCACCATTGCCCCTGGGTAGTGTATGAGACTTTTTTTTTTTTTAAAGCTGGTTGGGTCCAGAATCCTAGAGGGCATGGTTGAGATCAGTGCTGCAGGTTGTTATCATCCTGTCGCTTGCAGTTCTGTTGATAGTAGCCTAAATGAAATGCTGAATGAGACAAATTGAATAGATTTGGTCCCAGCCTTGTCATTCATGTTAATCAAGAGCCATCAACAAATGACAAGTTAGTGGGAAATTTTATGAGAAGCTAAGATGGTGTAAAAATTATATTTGTATATCATTGAGTGATAACTCCCTGATAATTCTTCTACATTTCTTCACATCTTGTGAAAGAGTCATTGCCTATCCTCTTTCATATTGTATTTTCTGTTTGTATAGCAAATAGCTTTGGAAGATAGAGATCGAATCCCTTCAGAGACAAAGCACAGGCACACTTTTTGCTCATTATTGAATCTTTAGTTTTTCTCAGCTCAGTATTCCTTTCCTGTAATGCAATGTATTGTATATGCAACTATCTATTCAGAATCATCTGTCTCATCTCCAAGGAACTTGAGGGCAGGGGAAACTGCTGCAAATACAGTATGTGTTGCTCAATGATGAGTCTATGTTCTAAGAAATATGTTAGTCAATTTTATCACTGTGCAAACATCATAAAGTGTAGATACACAAACAGATCACATACCTACACTTGTTGACTATATGGTATGTCTTGCTCCTTCTAGACTATAAACCTCTACAGCATGTAAATACTGCAGGCAATTGTAACCCAAGGGCATTTGTTGCATCTAAGCATAGAGTTGTACTGTAAAAATATGGCATAAAAGTTACAAAATGATACAACTATATATGGCACTTATGAATGGAGCTTGCAAGACTGGAAATTGTTTTGGATGAGTTGGTGCATGAACGGTGAGTGGAAATAAATGGCTAGGACATTATTGTTTACCACTGTAGACTACTTGGTTTCAATCCTTCAATCATAGCAAATTGCTCTAACTAGCACATTGTATCTCTGATCAAAATTTTCAGATCTATAAATTTGTCCTATTGGAGAATTCTTACTCTACCTTCCTGAGCCCGGCACCTCAGAAGGTGGTTTCTGTACACAGTTCCACATGTTTGCCCATATACATGAATGATATCTTCCATACCTCCTTCTGGATTTGACTGGCAATTGTCTTTGATCTAATCTCAGAGTCTTTCCAGGTCCCACAGGAAGAGCAGCTTCCTTCAACTTTCTGTGGGTGCTCTGGTTTTGAGCTCATTTGGCTCTGATTAGTCTCAAAGTATAAAGCCTGTTTACATTCAGCTTTCCAGAAATTTCTCAAATATTTGGTAGACTGATGACCTCTCCTCTCTATTCTCAGGACTGTTATGGAGTTAGTCCCCATCATAATCCTTCCAGTCATCTCATTAGGAAGAGAAGGAAATAGTTGTGTGTGTTGTCTTCCATTCTGAAGGGGAAGTCCCCTATTCAGTTTTCAACTGGTGAAACTCACTTATGCCCTACAGATGGTCAACTTCCACTGGTCCATTTCAGACTGATTCTACTTGATCTTTCTGAATTTTGAGTTGATCACTCCTTTCTAGAAAATCTTTGATTCTCTCTTTAAGTACTTGATACTTTCCTGGGTCTTTGACATTTTTTTCCTCCAACTGTTTTATAAGTTTCATTTCTTCTCCTTAACCTCTCAGTTGCTGATATTACCATCTTTCTATCTTTTTTTCTTCTCTTTTCTGACTTTTTAAAATATTTTTTTAGTTGTTGATGGACTTTATTTTATTTATTTTTATGTGGTGCTGAGGATCGAACCCAGTGCCTCATGCATGCTAGGCAAGCACGCTACCACTGAGCCATAACCCAGTCCCTCTTTTCTGCTTTTTAGACTTTCCAGGAAGTAAAAGAAAATCAAATTGCATAAAAAGGAATAAGACCAAAATGGGAATTAAATACCTCATCAACAACCTTACATATTAGAATATGAATGTAAGACTTTAAGATAATTTTCATAAGGAATTTCAGGTTTGACCAAATTATTGGTTGCAACCAAAAGACAGGTAAGAATGCAAAGACTACCACAGATCCTAGTATAATCTGTACGCTCTAACTTCCAAATCTATACATTTAGTTCAAATCTGGACTCTGAGATTCTCACTTATTCAACTAGCTAATGAATAACTTCATCTGAACAGCCTATATGTTTAAAAAAATTAACAACATGCCTCATAAAATCTATTACTTATCTCATATCTTTTTTTCCCAACAAATCTCACCATTATCCTACAACCAAAATTTTGGTCATCACCAAATTCTTCCTTTTCTTAATCCCCAACACTAACAAGTCATCAAATCTCTCAGTTTTCTACTGATTATTTCTCTTTGCTATCACATTTTTTTTTCCTCATTGGTGCTCTCTTAATTCACAGCCTCGTCATTTTCTGTTGGCTGCCCTACCTCAAACTTTGACCTCTTCAAGTCCCTCCCCTACATTATTGACAATTATAAGCTCTCTTCAAGTAAGTGTAATTATGTCTTTGCCTTGGTTCAAAGATTCAGTAGCTCC